GGCAGGGGAGAATAGGAAGGACTGATGGTGGGGGTAGTGGTGGTTGTTGTTGTAGTATAGCAAACATCACTTTAACCTCCACCTCTTCCTCTCTCCTCCCAAAATCCTTACCATGGCTTTTCTATTATCCACTATGGTTTCCTCAAACTCCTCTCCCACTTTGAAGGAAATCTCAGTATTTTCGAAAGTGCTCTTTGTCTTGATGGTTATCACATTTCCATCAGTGCTGATGATCACACTGGGTTTTGTCAGGCTGCCTAGTTTTAGGGTGGCTAAACCCACACCTACAAGTCAGGCAAGATCTTACATTTTATTCTTATTTGTGTCTAGGTCATGAGTCATTGAAAAGAGGAAGAGTAGGATTGATTTCTTCTTTACCTCAGATCTCTTCTCCAGAGGCTTGTTACTATGTTATTTACACCCTGTTTCAGGGAAAACAGGGATTTCTATATCAGAAATATTAGAAAATAAGAGCAGCATTACAAGCACATTATCTCTTGGAGAGAACTGGTGTAGGAGAAGGCACAGAAAAAGCACAAGTCATTCTTCCTTATGGAGGTGAAGTCTAGAACCAGTGTTCTAGTTCCCAAACTATAATAGAAGTTTTGCATCAGGGAGTAGTTTTCACATGCAAACTATTTGTAGGTCAAAACAGAAGAAGGCTTGTTTATTAGTTTTAAACTAGTTTTAAAAGGAGCTCTATTTCCCCTAGATTTAAATTAAAAGCTACATGGGATATGAATAGGCACCTTTGAACATTCATTTTGTGGTCAAGTCTTGAACACAAAATAACTACTGTAACTCAGCTCTCCAGAGAGGCAGGGTGAAGTCTTTGTCCAAGCATTGTATTTTTTTTAATTAAATATATGAAAAAAGGCTATAAGGGACCTCAGGAGGTCATCTAGTCAAGACTTCTACTTAACCACCTCATTCAACTGCTTAATCTCACTAGCTGTTAAATTCCAGAGTTTAAAGACTACACAGCACCTATGTAATCAGTTCTGTTAGCAAAATAAGCTCTAAACTAGTTCATGAAAAAACCTCAGAAAGTCAACTCTTACTGTATGTAATACACTTTAACCATAAACAAGCACATTGGATACTGATATAGCATCTTGGCTCTGTCATCTTACAAAGCCAACTTTATCCCAGAAAGGCTATCCAGTTCTTCACTAGAAGTAGTTGAAAGGCTACAGATAGGCTCTGTGATGTAAGCATCTTTCTTCCATTTCCATATATAGTTTTGACTTACGTCCACTCCAAAATAAGGAACAAAGCACAGAGCTCCCCAAGGACAATACTACTAAATGCAGGAACAAAGTTCATCTGAAGCATATTTTTTGCAGCCCTTTCCCTGACACACACATTTAGCATGTCTCACCCAACTCTTTCACATAGTCATCAAGTTTTTCACTGGAGCTGAGCTTCCAAGTTCCTACAAACACACCACACATGATTCAGGAGTCACAGAGCAAGCCGTTCTCAAAAGAAGACTAGACAAACAGCATAAACTGCAAAGCCCCTGAAAATTTCCTTTGAAAGATGACCTGAACATGTGACTCTCAGAGAAGGCTAATCAGAAAAGACATCAAGTACTCAGACTTTCAATTGAATTTCTTGTATGCCAAATCCAAAGCTAGGATATACAGTAAAGCTGAAAACAGCTTCTATTAAAACAGACAAGTCACCCTTCCCAAATAATGGCAGCAAAGTCTTTAAGGCACAGTTACTAGTTCAAGAATGCAATTGCCTCAAGTAATCATAATATTACTTAAACATTTTTTTTTATAAAGCCACTGCTCACCACCAGTATACCTGGAGTCACATGCTGCTTATCTTCTACTGCTATGCTGGCTCTACAGCAACCAGCTTTCCCACTGGTAGCATTTGGAACCATTGTCTAAATCAGGGGTTGGCAACCCCTGGCATGCGTGCTGAGCATGGCACATGAAGCCATTTTCCTTGGCACGTGCTGGGGCCGGGAGGCAGCAGCTGTTTTCAGCCTCCCAGCTGCAGCCAGCCCTGGCTCTGGGCAGCTGCTGCCAGCCGGGAGCCCAGGCTGCTCCCAGCAGGGGGCTGAGAGGCTGCAAGCCCTGCGGGGAGCAGCCCGGGCACCACGGCTGGCAGCAGCTACCCCAGAGCCTCGGCTGGCTACAGCCGGGAAGCTACAAACAGCTTCTGCCTCCCCGCCCCAGCCCCAGCCCAGCCATAATGGGTGCAGTGCTGGCACCTGCTGCCTTCCCAGAGCCTGGGACCAGGGGACAACCGGGGCCGGGAGCAAGGAGGCAGTAGCTGTTTGTAGCCTCCTGGCTGCAGCTGGTCCAGGTTCTGGTTAGCTGCTGATATCCATGGAGCCTGGGATGGGGGGCTGGGGCAGCAGGGCTGGGAGGGAGGGGCTTTGGGTGGGGGGCAAGGGGCAGCAGGGCTGTGGAGCAGTGGCACGAGCAGGCCTGGGGGGCAAGGGCATGAGCAGGGCTGGGGGGCAGGGGCTTTGGGTGGGGGGCAAGGGGCACAAGCAGGGCATCTTGCAATGTATCCCCTGCCCTTGTTTTGTTTTTTCTGGCATACTGGCACTCCAGCACCTTCCAAGGTAGGCATTGTGGATTTTTTTGGCATTCTGGCCAAAAAATGTTGCCTAACCCTGGTCTAGATAAATACTTTGTGCCATTGAAACTGCAAATGGCAGCTTCTACTTCTAACTGCCTAAAAGTTACTCTTACATATTTGTTGTGTTCTGGTGGGTTCTAGTGGCCCAGTCTATGTCTAAAATATTATAAAGCAGACTGTTACTTATAGCATTGATACTTAACCAGGGTGTTGTGGCTTTGAGACCCTTTCAAGGGTGCCACAGAGTGCCAGGCAATGTTACCATTTTTTGGTGTGCAGACATAATTCACAAGATAAACCTAGAAAATTCAAATAGGAACCTATAGTACTAAATATATTGTAACCTGTTGTGGTCTTTTTGAATTCTTTGCAAAAGAAGAATTGCTCTATTATTTTTCCATGGTCAAAAAATGAGCGAAAACTAAAAATTGTCATTTTTCCAAGGGATGTCTGGAGTCTAACAAACTTGAGAGCTATTGCCCTATTGGAATGCTGGGCAGCTGTAAAGATCTTCACTGCGATGGCCAGTCTGAAGACGTGGTTTGCTGCTGCTTCCTTTACAAGTTGCAAATGATATAGACTTGGTAGAACTCCAGGCCCTGAATAATGAGAATAGGAGCTGGAAGACTTGTTGTTTGAAGAGTGCAGTTTGGGTATGAAGTCAGGAAAACATCTAGTCCAACATGGATTTTCTTGGATCCCCATAATAGGATCTGGGCTTAAAGCAGCAAGAGCTTTGCTAGGATGATCACTAGGGATCCTAGTTTTCTCTGATAACCCACCCCCCCCAAATTCTTTGATAAAAATCGTAAATTCTCTGATAACCCCCCCAAATCCATGATTAAAATGAAGTGCCACTATATCTATCTATCTATCTATCTATCTATCAATTGAACATGATGTTTTATTGATATATTTACAATTTTAAAGCAATTTGGAAGCCTACCCATGCCTCAAGCACTATAATAAAAAAAAATCTAAATACCTATACATTTTGGCATTTGCCTCCCTCTGCCCCCTTAGCTCACAAAATGCAGGTTCAGGCCCCTCACTCCCCATCCCCACCACCACAGCCCCCTGGCCCTGCTGGTGCACCTCACATACCCCTCAGCCCCCCAGCCCTGCTGGTGCCCCTTGCCCCCTGCCCACAGCCCCCTGACCCCACCAGCCCTGTTGGAGTGGGCCCCCAGCTGCCAGGGCTATGGGGCCAGGGACCTAGGTCTGCATCCCCCTGCCCCCTGCAGCAGCGCCTGAGCCCTGGCTGCTGCCCATGGGAAGCAGCAGCTGCTGCAATGTAGTGGAGCGTGGAGCCTGGCTCCCCCTCTGCCATGGGCAGCACAGCTGAAGCAGAGCCTATGGTGAGGGTGGGCTGCCTGCTGCGGGCTTGGGCTCTCCACCCTGCTGTCCTCCCTTGGGGCCTCTGTAGCCCAACAGGCAGGACTTGGCGTGGCAGGACAGAGTGGAGCCAAGTGGGAAGCTCCTTGTCACTGCAAGCTCTGCGCTGCCCTGGCGATGCACCCCCTGCGCACCCTATAGCATCAAGGGGCACAACCACACGCTGCTGCCTGTTCTGCTGCCGGGTGGGCAGGGGACATGTCGCCAGGGTGGCATAAGGGTTGCAGCAGCAAAGGGTTTGGCCACCAGGCCTTGCTCTGCTCTGACGCACTGGGTCTCGCTCGTTGGGCTGCGGAGGCCCCGGGGCGGGGGGGGGGCAGCATGGCAGGGAGCCTGAGCCCACAGCAACCAGCCTGCCACCACCCCATGCATGGATCTAGGAGGCCCCCCAGAAGTGTGCACAGTGGCAGGGAGCCAGGCCTACACCCCCTACCCCCTGGACAAGTTGCCAGAGGCCCCCATCCTGCTCCCTGCCAGGTCTCTTTGGCCATGCATTCCAGCCCTGGGCCCCATGCCCCAGGCACTGCCCAGCTGGGCAGCAATCCCAGCCCTTCCCAACTCACTGCCTCCCTCCCTATGGGGACCTTAATCCTCCCTTTGCCCCCAGACTTACCTGTGGGATACCATACACATGCACATGGTGCTCCCTGCCTGACCGCCCTCCTCCCACTCCCTCCAGCCCCTTGCTGGCTGAAACTCTGCCAGCCTGCAGAGAGGTCTTTGCAAAAATGCAAAATCCATGTGTTTCTCTATTAAAATGAAAAATCCACATTTTTCTCAGGTAAAAGGGAAAATCTATGTTTTTCTCTGTTTTTCCATGGGAAATGGAATATCCATAACCTGTATCCCTGATGATCCCTCAGCTCCCCCCCTAGAGATGCAGAAATTACCCAGTGAATGGAGCTACATTATCCCATTTCCACCTAAGAAAACCACTATTTCCCATAGCCAGTCTTCCCTAGAACAAAGATCTGCTAACAAATACACTCAGGCAGTACTGGCTTCAAAGGGGGAGTGTTTCATTAGGGAAGTTCCTCTAGACCTGTACCCCTCCTGTCTCCCCAAGTGCACTGGATACCCTCTCTTCTGTCTCATAAAAATTCATTTCTTCCATGGAGTCTAGATATTCTTTATGAATTCAGTGACTTGAGTTTTGCAGGAGGTCAAACTAAATGACTATAAAGGTCCATTCTGACCTTTAAATCCAAGACTCTAACTATGTTTGTTTAATAAAGAAAAGAGAAATACAACAAGAGGGAGGGGAGAGAGAATAATTCTCTGTGGCTGAAAACCTTCCTGAGCACAAAGCTGTATAATTATTTTTCTTCCAACACAGAATATTTTTGAACGACAAACCAATGAAATACTAACGAGACCGTGATCTTTGTGCTAGTGAGGATAAATGAATGAATAATAGCATTCTGACCTACTGGGGGTGGGGGGGGGGGGGGGGGGGAGTGAAATCCTGGTTAACTGGAGCTGTCTCACCATTGGTCAACCCAGAGGGTGGCATGGCCAGACCTCCTTTTTAAATTGGCAGGTCTGTTTCACTTTATACCACTCTCCTGTCTTCTGTCAATTGATTTTCTTTTTTTGGGGAAGTACCCACCCCGGCTTGCTTAGCAGAATGTGTGAGCACTTTGTGGGAACCTGGAAACTGCTTTCCAGTGAGAACTTTGAGGACTACATGAGAGAACTGGGTGAGTAATGTTATTTGGGGTTGTATTTGGCTTTTTTTGGAGCTCCTTAGGTAAGGAATGTTGAGTGTGCACTTTACTCCAGTTATCCTCGCTCTGATTTTAGAACTTTGCTGTACAGGATATATACTTAATTGGACTGTCTTAAACTATGAAGCTTGTGGGAAATGTAACTGCCTGCTTAGTGAGGTCAGGCTTTTGTGCTGTAGGAAGAAATGGACTGGAAGAAACTGTTGAACTGTAGCTTTTAGACATGCCTCCCACCTAGAAACACTAGCTAATGCTCTTTTATTTTATTTTTATTTGCGGGGGAAGCAGAACATGCTTTCTGCCTACCTTTTGTATCTCCAATGTCTCTATAGTCAAATAGGATAGGAGCTCAGCTTTGCACTCTGGAAAAGAGACAGCACTCTAATTAAACATCTTAATGCTGATACTGGAGTACTGGACCTTGTGGTTCTCTTAATTACCAAAATACAGGAAACTCCATTTAAACTTGAAAGTGGCTGGCTGGTATGTATTGTCATAATTAATTGCATGGATTCTAAAGAGCTGTGAATGAGATGGGTAATATGTTTCTTTAAAGTTACAGACTCCAGGTAAAATGGTTAAAAAGTATGCCTACCAACTGAATGCAGTTAGCGCACCTTGAGCAGCTCAGCACAAACTAACAAATCAGCCTTTTGTATACAGGGTGAGGTAAAACTTTGAAGTGAGACTTGGTGTTAATGCTCTTAGTGAGACTCTCAAAGTTT